TCCAGCTCAAGGTACCTACCTACGTACTCAAGAGATCGATGGGAGACCGTAAAACACAGGTTATTTATATCGGAGAAACCGAGTTGAAGCAGCCAGGAGAGTCTGGCCCAGAGGTTTTGAGCTTTCAAGAATGCCATCAGGACCGCGGGTTGCGTTTTGGGGTTATTAGTGGGATATACAAGTTGTTAACAACCCTAAGCTCAAGAGGAGCCGTCCAACTCCCATGAAGTCAACACCAAAGGGGCTCAATGCCAGGTCTAAGTTGTAGGAGGGCGGGGGGGGAGGGGGGGCGGCAAAAGGAAGCCGCTGTTGCAGCATCTAGCTTGACCTGGGTGTAGCGCTATCTTGACAAGTGGTAAAGTAGGATTGTCTCGCTTGAACTTCCTCATCGCCAGGCCAAATTGGGCCAGGGCCCCGCTCTGGACGGAATACTAGGCACCTCGGGATACTGGGTGATCATGGTTTCCTTGCATCTCACGTTTGGGATGGGAGACGGCATCACGATGTGAGATGCAGCTGTGCCACATAAACTTACCTAATCAGCTAGCTGCACTTGATCCCACGGCTTCATGAAGTTCAGTCTAATGCCACAGTCATGCTGGTGTCGATGGCTCAAATTACGCGGATAAAGTTTGCAATCGACAGAACAAAAGACAACCAGGGTAAGAAACACAGAGCAAAGATGGGGAACTGAGGAGTTTCCGAGAGCTATCCACCCTAGCCTAATCTGAGAAGCTACCATCTGCCTCTCCCCAGACCAAGGCCATCCGTGACCAGACCATCCATGTGATCCCCAATCCCACTCTCCAAAAAGAAAGCCCGATCAGTGCTCCGAAGTAAGTTTCCCCTCACCCAAACGCAAAGTCAGCGCCAGAACGCGAACACAACCTAGATCCAGTCCCAAGTGCCCTGGATAACGCCGAGGCTGAGGTCGGCGAGGGCCTGGAAGGCGGCCGGGCTGAAGTCGAGGTCGCCCGAGTTGCAGGCCTCGCAGCGGTCGACGACGGTGACGTCGACCGACTTGCCCGAGTAGGAGGCACGGATGCGGCGGCCGCAGAGCGGGTTGTTGTTGGGATTGCCGTTAGGGGTCGACGGGTCGAAGTCGGCGTGGCTCAGCGCCACCACGTAGTCGCCGTTGCCGTGGGTCTGGCCGCACGCGCCCAGGCCCGGGTTGTAGTAGGTGAAGCGGCCTGAGGCTTGGACGGCGCGCTTGTCGGCACCGGCGGCCGTGATGGCGTTGGTGCTGGAGATGGGGGTGGCCACGGTGGCGCCAATGAGGGTGGCCGTGGCGGCGAGAACGGAAGCAATGGTGGTGGCGAACATCTTGATTGTGTTCGAGGAGAAGATGGTGTGTTTTGTTTATGAAATTGGGCTTGGAGACAAGAAGATGATGGTATTCTTTGCTCGAAAGGAGGAGTTTGTTCGTGGTGAGGAAGAAGAAGTAGCATGGAAGTGGTCGAAGAGAAGGTAATATATAGGCAACATATCTTCAGTTCCGTCTCATACCTCGCCAGCATGTCGCTGTTGCGCTCACAAGTGAAAATTGCAGCCGCAGAATTCTCTTGCTCTCCTTATTGGGCTATCTCGCTATCACTTCCATACGAGCAAGTTCCTGTCTCCCATGACGCGTCAACATCACGCTAAACCTCTCCGTCCCATACCAAGGGAGTTCACATGTGCAGCAACGGCAAGCACGTTCCAGTCTCAAACAAGTGCTGGTTAGTAGATGTTTTCCACAAACACTAGAACAGCCCTCAAGGTCCCCTACTTTAACCACCAGGGAGGTTTCATTACTAACAGTAACCAGCCCTTTGACCTACCGAACCCTACACGGGCCATGAAGTGGCGCCTCTATTGGCCATCACCTTTTTACACACAGAACAAAGTTTTTCCGCTATTAAAGATGTGATCAAGGCACACCTGTTTGTGCTTCTTATTGTGTGCGTACTTCATCACGTTCCAAAGCATTCTGCAAGGACGATCATTCTGCCCTCTATGGTTGCACAACAATCGATGTTTGCTTCTTTCACATAGCCAACGGTCGGGCGGTTCAAGGTCGAGGAGCCTTTCGGGAACAGAGCATTCTTGACTGCTCCCAATTTATTTTAACTTCTCTGAGATGGATCAAAAGCAGTTGGTTGGAGAGGGGTTGCCCGGCTACCCACATAGATACATGCTGTAACCCCTTGGAGGTGGGTCGGTTAAGTTCCATTGTTTACTTTCTCCAAGCCATTTGGAGCGAAGTTACGATGGAGGCAATCAATCGACCGTGAATCATATGAGGAGTTCATTTCGAGACGCGGTATTGCCTAAATGGACCGACCAAAGTTCGGTAATAGGTCTTGGATGAGGGGTGAGGCTTGTCAGAGACATGTAGGTATGTACTTAGGAAATTGCTATAGCAGTCTGGTCCCGAGGTGAAGGGCGTCAAAAGATAGCTACCTCTAGGAAGGTTGCACCGTCAGTCCACCAGTTAGCGTCTGCGAATTTTGGCACCGGAGGTTAAATGTGCCCAGCAACCCAATGCCAAGAAAGGCACCAAATCCAGGCGGTTTTGTGTCTTTCGAGGCGCCTGAATACGAAATACGCTGGACCAACCACGTTTTGGAGTAAGGTACCTGAGTTGAGGAGTGGAGCCGAGCCTCGGGGGCTGAGCCCGAGTGTGACTCTCGCAAGTTCCCCCTCAGTCTCATCGTCCCGCCCCCTTCAATAGTTTCTTTGTCATCTTGCCTTTGGGAGATATTTGAGCAGGGACAAAAGGTAGGATTTCTCAACCTCCGAGAAAGAACACTGTGTCTCGCCATGCGGATCTCTTCGTCTCAACCCGATTGCGAGCGCGCGCCCTTGCTCACAAGTGCGCATGCCGCCCTCGGCGGCTTATCCGAAGAGGAACTTCGCGCGATGTCACCATGGCAGAGGGTGCGCGAAACGACCAAACGGAACTGGAGATACTTTCTCTTGGTAGGTCTAATCAACAGTACCCTTACTACAATCGCCCACCCATATGTACACGAGATATGGAATTATATCCACCCCCACGAGCACGCCATCCTGCACTCCGGGGAGCACATCCGCTGGACTCCCTGCGGCGCCAGGACCATCGCCGACCGCACCCTAGAATGCGCCAGCCTAACCGTCCCCATGGACCACTTCAACACGACCAACAATCTCCCCGACGACAAATCCTTCACCCTCCCCCTCGTCCGCCTGCGCAGCCGCAACCCCACCTCGGCCACACGCAACCTGCTGCTCAACCCGGGCGGGCCGGGCGGCTCGGGCACCGCCATCGTTCACCGCCGCGGCGCGCAGCTGGCCGACATCGTCGGCGACGGCTTCCACCTGATCGGCTTCGACCCGCGCGGCGTGAATGGCTCCACCCCGCGCGCCGCCTGCTACCCGACCGTCGACGACCGCCGCGCGCTGTCGGCGGTGCGCGCTAAAAGGGTCGTCCAGGACAGCGGCGAGCTGTGGGCGTGGACGCAGGGCTTTGTGCAGGCTTGTGCTGACACCATGGGCGACCATGGCCGCTACATCAATACCCCGCAGACTGCGGCCGATATGAATGCCATTCTGGATGCGGTCGGCCAGGAGGGGTTGTATTACTGGGGCTTTAGTTATGGCACCATTCTCGGCCAGACGTACGCCACTATGTTCCCGGACAGGGTGGAGAGGGTGATTGTGGATGGGGTTGCAAACCAGTTTGATTGGTATGAGGAGCTGCTGGATGCCGAGATGTTGACTGATACGGACCGGGTGCTTGAGGGGTTTATGGAGGAGTGTGTCAAGGCTGGGGAGGCTGATTGTGCGTTGGCGGAACTGGCAGGGACTAAAGAGGAGTTGTTGGAGTTGGTGTTGAAGGGGGTTGCTAAGCTGGAGGATGAGCCGGTCGGGGTATATGTCAATAACACTGCGTTCGGCGTGCTGGACTACTGGGCGATCTGGCAGAATGGCGTGTTTCCGGCACTGTATAAACCGGCGACCTGGAGGGACTTGGCAACTAATCTGGCTTTGTTGCTGCGTGGCAACGCTACGGCTGCGTTCCTGTCTTACGGCAGAGAGGAAGCTTGGGAAAGCTTGGGCGATGCGCTCAAGTTTGTCGGCCTCAATGACGGCACGTCAGGGCCTGGCAATTGGCCGGCGGACCGGGCTGAGCTGGTTGACCAGTTGCTCCCTTTCTTTAACCTGTCCCTCTTCACCGACATCCAGTACGACTACTACTTTTCCAAGCAGGCCTGGGCAATCCCGCATACGCACACCTTCGTCCCCAAGAAAAAGGTCAAAACGGCACATCCGCTATTACTGCTCTCAACAACATGGGATCCTGTTTGCCCCATGGTCTCCGCGAAAGGGGCGAATGAGGTGTTTGAGGGATCCCAGATCGTGGAGGTCAAGGGATATGGCCACTGCACAATGGCTCTACCCTCCTTGTGCGTCGCGCATCATGTGCGAAACTTTCTGTATGACGGCAAGCTCCCGGAGGGGCCTGTGCAATGCGAAGCAGACGGTAAACCGTACTTTTCGAAGCCCGAGGAAGTATCATCTTTAGCCCAGTTTCAGACTCTGGGAACAGAGGACAAACTGATTTGGCGGGCACAACAAGAACTGGCGCGAGACTCATGGCTTGGGCCTTGGAGAATGTAGCGGTGCTTCCAGTCCGGGTGCTGGCTGGGGTCAGGTTCCACCAGCACTCCTCACGACGATTTGTTAATTGCTCGCATATTGCGAAACTCTTCTTGAAAAAACGCAGATCAGAGACATATTCATAAAATGACAGAAACACGCCGATCTGGTGGTCGATAAATGTGGCGGCGCGGTCTCATACCACTTCTGTTTGTTGCAGACCCCTTGGACGGACCATTTTGTTCGCGTGCAGCGCGGGAATTAAAACCGTCTCTTCGTAAACGCCCACAAAGCAATGGATAAGCCGCTGAAACTGTGGGCCCTCAAGCGTCCACATGTATCAACGCTGCATCGGGGCCGTCAGCATGAAACTGCCGGGCCCTCTCCGGGCCTCGACATCGGGTTGAAGCTGACCAGCTCGGCCCGCCGTAAATATCCGAGGCTTGTAATGCGATTTGACCATCATACCACGTCAACGGCTTGTGGACCTTCAATTTTGGTCAACCCGGGTTTGGTCTTGGCCAAACTCGTCACGGATAATGAGCCGTGACATGAGAGTGAGATGTGCATCAGCAGCGGCCACGGCCTCGCTTTTCCCTTGAAGCGAGGCTTTGTATGCATTGATGAGAAAGATAGTGAACTTTTAGCACAGATGGAGAAAGAGAAACCAAGTATAAGTTTCCCGTATCCCGCCCGTGGAAAGCAAGATCATCAGACAGCTTCACAACAACAGCAACAAAACAAAGACATCTTAACACAACCTCAACTGCAAACCATTCCCTAAGCCCCACCGACCAGATACTTCATTAGTCAACATGCGTGCCACTGCTACCCTCTTGTTCGTTGCCGGCCTCGCCAGCACTGCCTTCGGCGCCGCCACCAAGATGTACGACGACGAGAACTGGTACGTAGCATGAACTCGGTGGAGTCATATTTCGCCCTGGCAACTTAACCTTGACTAACACCCCAACCAGCACCAACGAGGTCGACAAGAAGGTCTACAACGGCTTCTCGTCGGGTGATGCACCCCTGACGGACAACATCAAGGCCATCAAGGTCGACGCGATTACCGACACGTGGTTCGCCTACCAGGACAGCGATGGCGACAAATGCAAGGGCGACCTCCTCACCAAGCTCGAGGACGACAAGTGCATCACCGTCGCCGAGCTCGGCATTGGCTGCACTCGTCTGTGCAGCGGCGGCCTGGGCGGCGGCGACTGCGCCTCGACTACCGCTTAGGGCAAGCTGATGTTCTGTTTGTTGTTGGAGATTTTTATACAGCGAGTTAGGATATAGCGGGAGATAAATGGATAGAGTTTGAAGCTCGATGCTTGCCGTGCTGTTCTCTTATTTCTGTGACTGTGTATCTCGCTTTAATGCAAACTAGGAGAGAGAATCCGTGGATATCCCTCGAGGCAGAGATAACAGTCGATTGTGTTCCAGCGTGCAGCTTATAGCAGGGGACTCCCAAGACACCGCGATATGATCAGTACAAAACGAAGTATCTTTTGCTAACAATGGTATCGTAACACAAGAAATGAGACCCCAAGACGCCACCATCCCGTATCCATACATGTATGTACAACCAACAAAAGCCCCAAAACATCAACGCGCCCCCCCCGGCCCCCCAAAGTCAAACCGAAACCCCATATCCTGCGACGACTGACTCCCATGCGTCGTCACGATCCTCGCACTAACCGGCCTCGCCACCTGCGCAACCTCATACACATGCGGCGGCCCCGTCAGCGTCTTGGCCGAATCCGGCCTCTCCTCATCATCCCCACCCCTACTCTCAACCACACCGACCACCCCACCCCCAACAACCGTACTACTACTATTATTACTCGGCCGTCCTCACGCTCTTCCCCCCCAGCGAATGATGATGATGATGCCCACCACCACCACCAACAACACCCTCCTCCCCACTATACCCGTACCCACCCGCACCAGCGTGGTACCCGCCGGCTGTGTACTGCATGAAATCGACGCTCATGCGCCCCGAGGGCAGCGTGCCGTCGAGGAAGCGACTGCTGCCGCTGGCGCGCGTCGTGCCCTCCCAGTCGTGGAACGTGTCGAGCAGGCTGTCGAGGAAGCGCTTGCGGGAGGGGGGCTGGGAGGGGCCGTTGGACGGGCGGGAGCGTGCGTGGGGGGAAAGGCGGTGCTTTTCGTGGGGGTGGAGTTGGTTGTGGGGGTGGTGGTGGTGGTGGTGGGCGAGGGCGGTAGGTCTTTTCGTTGTGGACGAAGAGCATGCGGAAGGAGACGAGGCAGGAGATTATGTAGGCTGGGGAAGGGGTTAGTTACCTATGGTGTTTGAGGGAGGAGGTGGGGTTGGGTTCAGGGGTCTGGGGAGGTCTTACCCATGATGAACTCGATCGAAAGCCAGAACCATGCCCAGGCAATGTTTTGGGTTTGGGAACCGTCGGTGGCGACTTTGCCCGTGTGGATGGTCCCGCGGATGATGGTCACAGCGACGGTGATTAATGTCAGGGAGAAGATGGCGCCGAGAATCAGCTTCTTCCGCATTGTGAGGCGGACTTTCCAGAGAATGACAATCGGAAGGCAGAGGACTAGCGCTGTTAGTTGCGTGTATCCGCTTCTTGGGAGTGAGATGCTTACTGAGTAGGTCCGACGCCGCGTCAATGGTGCAGTAGGCAACCATGTAGGCCCATTGCCGCGCGGTCTCCCCGTTTGCGGTGCATTGGAAAAAGATAACGTCGAGGGAGCTCAACATGCACTTGTACTCAATGAGAGCAATGCTGATGGCATAGGATGCTAGGGTTACAAACGCCACGAACCACCAAAACATGATGTACTTGGGTATTTGGCGGCCGAGGCGGTGAAAGAAGAGGAGGAAGCTCAGCTTAACGGCGTGGACTCCCGTGATGCTGAGAATTCCTTGAATGAAAATGCCGTGGAGAGCTTTGGGCACGTCCTCGGGGAAGGTCGACGGCATAGGGATCGCGCGGTTGGAGACATCCTCGAGCATGTACACATAATGCAGCCGTAGTTGGGCGACACAGGCTGCGGCTAGCTGGATGCCAAGTGCCGCCATCATTATCCAGTCCTCGGGCAGCAGACGGCGGAAGCATATCCACCGGATGTATGAGCGTGCACAAAAGCCGAGGAAGCAGAGTGCAAAGCCAACCCATATGACAGCCTGTGGTACCATGTTAGAAATAGATGGTTCGCTTGGGCCCGCCTGATTTCGGTCAACTCACCTCCATGGCCTCCACCGGCATTAGATGCCCGGTGGTGCGAAGAAGTTGGTCTTCGGACGGTGACACAGACATGATGATGTTGGAGGCTCAGATGCCGAGTGAAAACACCAAAAGATGGCCGGCAGTCGAGGAAGGACGGACACAAGCGTGTCCCGGCAGAGCGAATGCGGTAGACTTTGTAGCTGGGGTTGGAGGATGGTGAGGCGTTGCCAAACTCGCCACGGGCGAGCAGATTCTCAAACTCTCATCCTGCCGTCGGGCGGGCCAGTAACATAACATTTTGGTGGACTTGAAACATGCCATGGAGCCAAAAGCGAAGTGCCTGCCTAGGTGAAGGCACAGCTTGGTGTGCCGCTCAAGCTGAATGTGCGTTGAGTGGCTGGAGGAGATGGGGGGAGCGGAAAATAGCTGGCGGATGCGGCACAGCGGATGCGCAGCTGGGAGCGAAACCACCAACCAACCCAGTTCGGGATGCCAAGCAGTAGAATGTCACCACTTGCTGTGAGCAGAAACGGTGTCATGGTGCGCTTGCGTCAATCAAGAAATCCGAAAACTGTGGGGGCTGTGCGGCTAGCTGGGGCTACGTGAATTGTGTGTTCGGGTTGGGGCATGTTGGGCTATTACTTAGGGCTTTTGCTATTCGGGCACTCATACTTTGGCTATTGGGCACTCACCCCCTAGATCATTGGGAAAGGGTTAGGGTTATATATGGTCCCACCGTATCAATCGAGGGTTTACATGACCCACCATTGCATTCCATTCACCATGGTCCCCAACTCTCCTACTGATGTGTTGGAATATCTACGCCAGAGTTACGTCCTCGCAGGGGGATGTGACGGAGGGCAGGGGGGGATCCACCGCTGGGGCAGTCGTCACGTGGTCCTGGACCTCGGGGATGACAACCCCGGCTGCAGAATCTGCGCCCCCCTCATTTCCAGATAGAAGAACATGATCCAACTGAACCACGGATGTAGCACGTCCCTCCAGAGAGAAGGGATTTGCCCTGTGTTTCTAACGTTATCGCGATACCTGGTATTCCCTACACTGATCAGTGGTTAACTATACCACTGTTAGACAGCTCCCGCCACAGATCAGCAAGGTTTCCAGAAGAGACGGAATTGTCGGAGAGGTTCTACCGGAGTAGTGACTTCTTCCACAAAACCGTGCTAAGGAGTCTTCTCGAGACTTTCACTTGGACTTAGGACACAGTGGAGGAACACGAGAGGCTCAATCCTACAGTTCGGACTCAGGACGCACTGAAGGAACGTCCATCACGCATTTCCCGCTCGCCAAGATCCTCGCGAGCTGCTGGCAACCGCCGCAAAACCAAACGTCAAATCCACTTTCCAAAGAGGCAACAATGCCTCAGACAACATCGTCACTAGAGGAACTGGACACGGGCTCGTCAACGCCAGGGAACAGCCAAACTGGAGGGAACCCGCTTACACCGCCCAATTCCCCCAGCACCTCCTGTCCGTCGTGGATCACTCCACATGGGGAGACCTCGCGGCCATCGACGAGATCGAGGAGCCCACGCCCAAGCAGATGAACTCCCACATCTATTTCCTCATGGAAATTTTCTGGGCCTCTACGAGCTACACAGGACGAAAGCTCTGGGGCGCATTCAAGGACGAATTCGACGAATGGACCGTCCAACGATGGGACATGGTTCCCGACCGTACCCGAAAGCACCTCCGCGCCTTCCTGAGCACCAACGGCGTGTATGTCGACAACACCAACATCCCCCTGCCCGCAAAGTTCGAAGCCATTGCCAAGAGAACGACTTTCCGCGCCTGGACCAGCGACGAGATCAACTCTGCGAGGGAGAACAGTACAGCGTTCTGGAAGAGACTGGAAGACCCCAAGTTCGTTGAGGATATCCAGGAACTTCTCCCGTGGACGCCGACGATCCCGGCAATCCCGGCGGCCCCAACGACCATCCCGACACAACCACAGGTGCCCCTGACCACGCCGGCACTCCCCCTGGCAACCCCGGCCCCTCAGCGACTCCCACAAACAACCCCGGCACCGAGACAACAGGACCCCATTCCCCAGATGGCACCGGCACGTGAAGCAGATTGGGAGACAACTCCGGAGGTCAAACAAGACCCCCAGACCTGGCCCCGCCCCCCCGAGGAACTGTACTACGCACCACGAGGGAACCCTAGACACCTCGCAGATTTGGCCGAGATGTACAACGATGACATGAAGTACGGCGGCGGGGACTACGACGTCCTCGACGTCAAAATCGCAATTTTCCGAGATGCTTGCAATCGAATCGGAGTCCCGAGATGGCAAGCCAGCGACGCTTTTCCCACCATGCTCAAGGATCGAGCACTGCAATACTACTACAACTGGCTTTGCAGCGGCCCCCGGGACTACGATGCCATGGTAGCCAAGATCAGAGGATACTTCGAGAACGAAGAGCAGCAGCACCGGTACCTGACAGCATGGCGCGACGCCAGATTAATCAACATGCAGGCCGAGCACCCCGACAAGTCCAAATCCGAGTGCCTGGAACTTCTGATCAACAGGCTTGCCCTGATTCAACGCGCAGTACCGGCAATTGGCCAGACAGAGGATACACTGCGCATGCAACTCTTGAACGCATGCCGTGGTGTTGCCGAGGCCAGGATGGCCCTCTTCAACCCGGCGCCAACCTTCGAAGGCGTCCGCAACCAGCTGCAAGCGGCGATTGGAATCACCACCGAAAATCCCGGACCTCAACAGTTCAACACCGACGCCACTGACTCGGAGACGTTCTGGACGGACAGGACGTACAGAGGATCCGGCAGAGAATCTAGATTTGGTCGC